CAATTATTTCGGAATGTTTCAAGATATTTTAGTATATTTCGATCAATGTTTTGAAGAAATAATTCTTAATTTTTTTTTTTATTTTGTTTTTGAAACTGGTCGAAATGTGTTTCCGTTTCTTAGGTGACCGAAACAATGCACCACAATAAAATTTTGATCCTTGCCTTAGAGTCGTCCATGTATTGTTTTTTGTGCTCTTGTGGATATTTTCTCTTTGTCATACTAAATGGATACAAAAGGGATTTGGATAGTTGGTGGTGGCCTGACCAGTGTTTATGGACTTTTTTCCTTCTTTTGACAGGGTTTGACACCTTATGAAAAGAAGAAGTATGTTTGGAAAATGCTTTACATTTATATGCTTGGTTATGACGTGGATTTTGGTCACATGGAAGCTGTTTCTTTGATATCTGCACCAAAATACCCTGAAAAGCAGGTAGTATATCTGTTTCCACTACTTCTCTGGCAATTTGTTACTATTTGGCATTTTATTCCACAAAAATCAGTTTCTTCACTTCAGTGTGGTTGACATGGGGTGAACTTGAACTGGTTAGCTCATTGAGTGTGAAGTTTACACTGTGTGGATACTACTAACTCCATGTCTTGTTTTGGATTATCTATATGTTAATCCTTCAAAGTGGATCAGTATGCCAAGCAGACATCAATACTTTCCCTTTTTAAGGAAAAAAATTGTTTTGATGATACTTTGAGGGGTGGATCTACTTGCATTGCTCACTTCCATGGACTAGTCACTAATCATAAATAAAAGTTGAGATGCAAATTAAACTTATGTTTTTGCACTTGACATCTTAGACACTTTCTTCTGTGCTCCTTGCTTTATTTGCCCTCCATACATGAGTGTGAGTCTTCAGTTGCTTGCTTCAGAATTTGCAGCACACATTTATGGTGCAATTTTTTTAACTACACTATCATGGCATCACTCACTTTGATCTCATTGTTTGACAGCCCATGATGCATTACCACAAGTCTTATCATTTAAGACTTTGTACGAAAATCTGGTGATGCTGTCAATGTTTGAGAAATTTTTTGGGAACTAAGAGTGAAATTTAGAATGCGAATACATCACTGTAAATAGCCAAAAGCTTGTCCAAGTTGTTCAGATACTTCAATTACTCAATTACTAGTTGAAGTTCATCAAATCATAAAAGTCAGTGACCTGAAAACTTAGACTGACATTCTCTTTCATTAAGTTGGAATTTGCCAGTTGAAAGCTTTTTGAACTGCAGATTTCAAAGACTTCACTATTTGCCTGATTTGAAGTTTTATTCCTCACTCGTGGAATTTGAAATCAGACCTACTGCAAGCACTTCCCTGTTTCCATGTGATTTCCGATTCCCATAGTGTCAATCTAATATCTTATTATTTTCTGTGCTCATGCAAATCTGGATTTGTGTTTTCCTTGTCTGAGCGGTGGGCATCTGTGCTTGTCCATTTTGTAAGGAAATAATTTATGCGTTGAAGGTGTTTTCTCACTGTGGAGATCTGTTGAGATAATTGATTCATATTAGATTCTTTAAATTGTTAGAAGGAGAGGAATTATAAAAATTTTGGAATCTCTCATTCGTGTTTTCTCACTGTGATTTCATTTTTTCTTAGGCTAGACTTCCGTCTAAATCTCCTTGATATGTCATTTCATTTTCCTTTCTTAATACATAATTACATGAATTGTCCAAATTACTTATCGATATATCAAAAGCAAAAGACAACGAATTCAAAATATGGCCTGAAGCTATCTAAAGTAGAATTTTGAAGTTCTGTTACTTGACCTTAAACATTTGAGCTATCTGTGGAAGAAAGAATGTTTCTGGACACGATCAAATGCATTATACTGATTCGCTTTCAATTTGTCTACTGTTTCCTTATATTTTATAAAGCTTCATGCTTTTGCAATCAGCTTCTTATAACCAACATAAATTGTAACCTTAGATTTATAATTTGCTATGAAGTTAGCTTCAAATCATGGATCAAAATTTATTTTGAAACGTCTAAAACGTTTCTGTTTTCTAGGATACTGACACAAATCAGCAAGAGAATCTAAATTAATATTTAATATTTAACAAATTAGTGATGGAATCTAAACATCTCGAAATATACCAATATTAATATTTTGGAAATAAATAAACTTTTTTTTTTCCATTTCATTTTATGAAACATTTCTGAAATGTTTTTGTTTAGCAACCAAAACAATGCTCCAAAACAAAATTTTGATCCTTGCTTCAAATGCTAAGATTGTTCAAGTTTAAAGAAATGTAGAATTACTTGTGTTTTTGCATGGATGGCTTACTGAGACAGTGAGTTTAGTATAAATTCAAGTACAAAACCTGGTCTAGTGCCTTTACAAATTGTGGAGCTGCATCTTTCCTAAACCTTGTGTCTGTCAAAAGGAAGTACTCATTTTGTGTTCATGTGTCATTGGAACTTTTTATCCAAGACGGGTTGCCAAGACTACAGAGGGTTAGTTAAGTAGATAGAATGAAAGATTGTTTGTTGTTTAAAGCTTAAAAGAATTGCTTTGGGAACTTGGTTTTTGCAAATACTTGCCTTAAAATGTTTTTGGAGACTTTTGAGAAGCAACTTTTTTTAGTTATTTTAATCGCTCAGCTCCCATCAGTAATGTGTGCTGTGTATGCCTGCTCTTTTAAACGGGTGTTAATAGCTGGTAAACAGAATCACGGGTGTTTGGAAAACTCTCATACTTTCATTATGGCTCTGGAATGTCATTTATCTGTATTTGGTTCTTTAAGGATATGTGCCTAGTTCTTGTGTACTCAAATTATTTTCTTATCCTGTGTCCGGGAATAAGCATATGAATGCAATTGGTTATGTAAGTTCTTTTCTTTTTTCTTTTATTTTTGGTTGTATAACTTCCTTTTTTCTTTAATCAGCAACAACGAAATTCTATTAAAAATATTTGAAGTCAGTATGCAAAGGATGAGAGGTCCTTCAAATGAAAAACTTGTTAATTAACTTCTCTATCATTCTATGAATGAATGCAGGTTGGATACATAGTGACATCGTGTTTGCTCAATGAGAATCACGACTTTTTGAGATTAGCAATTAATGCGGTCCGCAATGATATCATTGGTCGGAATGAAACATTTCAGTGCCTGGCGTTGACCTTGGTATAGTTACATGCATGTTTTAATTATCAGATTTTGTTTCTTGTGCAAATATTTGTGATTCATATGTCGGTTACACTACAATCTTTTTGTCAAAACATGTCCTGCTATAACATATGCATTCTATTGTTGTTGGTTGTATCCAACCTCACATACTTCCCAATCCTTATATCTGTGCAGGTAGGGAACATTGGTGGGAGGGATTTTGCTGAATCACTAGCACTCGATGTTCAAAAGTTGCTTGTAAGAGGACACTTTTTTGCATATTTCAATTGGTATGAGTCTCATGTGAATGATGGTTGGATTCCTTGTGTTTCAGATTTCCAGTAGTTGCAGACCGCTTGTGAGAAAGAAGGCCGCATTGTGTCTCCTCCGCCTCTTTAGGAAAAATCCGGATGTCGTCAATGTAGATGGCTGGTAAGTGGGAAGTACATTCTGTGGCAGTTTTCTGGACAATTTGAACTTGACGTTTATGACTAAGTCGTCTTTGCCTCATTGCAGGTCAGATCGGATGGCACAGCTATTAGATGAACGTGATTTGGGTGTTTTGACATCTTCGATGAGCCTTCTTGTTGCTTTAGTGTCCAATGACCATGATTCATACTGGAGTTGTCTTCCAAAGTGTGTCAAAATATTGGAAAGGCTTGCTAGAAACCAAGATGTTCCTCAAGAGTACACTTACTATGGTATCCCATCTCCCTGGCTTCAGGTTTGTGTGCTCTTATACTGGATTTTTTCCCTTACACAAAATGGGCCAATTGAACTTTTGCAGAATGTAGCTCTGAAACATGGAGTAAATAATTCTGTGAGGATTAGAGTACCTGGATTTATTGTAGTCTTGAACTTGGATACTGAATATGGTGACATCCTGAATTGGTGTTTTGTAATAGAAAAACCCCTCAATTATTGACACATACATTCCATGACATTTCAGTAATCACACCTTAACCTCCCGAGGTTTGTACATTGTTGCAGAAACCCTTCCTGAGATTGCTCACACACCACCGAACTCACTTTTTGTGCTCTGAAAAAGAGATCTCATTTATTGGGCTATAATTACAAAGGGTCTGGATGGGGGATTGTTGTTGTTATTATTATTTTTATTGTTGTGATAAATATCTAGAAAAATGCAGTTGCTATAGTATCCTCATCTTTTGGGATTTTACTTTGTCTGTTGATAATGAGTCAGTATAAATAATGCAAAATAGAATGCATGAATTTCACTTGTTTATATTAGCAAGTAGTCGCCAGATGAAAGTGCCTGTCTTTTAGGGGTTGATTGATGTATTAAACCTACATGCAATTCTTACTAGTGTACTGTCACTGCAGGTTAAGACAATGAGGGCTCTTCAGTATTTTCCCACTATTGAAGATCCAAACACTAGAAGATCATTGTTTGAGGTTTGATTCTTTATTTTTTCCAGGAAATTATGATACTTGTCAGTAGATTTCATAATTCTAATGAACCTTGCTTTGTTTATCTAGGTTTTACAACGGATACTAATGGGAACTGATGTTGTGAAAAATGTGAACAAGAACAATGCATCACATGCTGTTCTCTTTGAAGCCCTTGCTCTTGTAAGTCTAAACACTAGTTAAGTTGCTTAGTATGTTAAAGAATTGAGCTTAAAAGTGGTTGCCAGCTTGTATGAATTTGAAAAGCTTTCATATCCTTTATGACAGAAATGCAATCAACACCAGTAATTTAGTTGTGCATATAAGATTGGTGTGTGTGTTTTGCATACTATAGTAAAAGTTGGACAATCAAGCAAACAAAGAAGTAACTCGCATTGAAGTTGGAATTGCGTTAGGGAAACAGTCTCTAAAATGTTGGCACCCTTCTTCCCATCTCCTGATCCTCGAATGGATATTTGTTTGCTTCCAATCTGCCTCACCAAATCTTTGCTAGAATTACGGACATACGATCTTTGACTACTTCAGAAATCTGTTTCCCATGGCAACCAATATGTGCCTGGTCTTGCCTTCATCTTCTTTGATCGTGGCAACCAATATGTGCCTAGTCTTGTATCCATTTTCATAAGGCAAAGTGCCTAATTTTGCAGGTTGTACATCATTATGGGACTGGGGAGATACCCTTTTGTACTCTATTGTGAATTTTTTGCCTCTCAAAAACTCTTAAGGCCTACATAAACTTTGTTGTGCCAACATGTACGATGCAATGTTTGTTAATGATTAAAACATGTATCAATTGATTATCACTTATCAAATATTGAAACTTTGGAGTGTAAATAATTATTTGGTGATTTTTGTAACTCGTATCTTAACTGAATGTGTAATCAAGTGTCATATTGTCATATGTTTTCATATAGATTAGTTGTATACCAAAGTGGTAGAATAGTTGATTCTTTGAGCTAAACATCTTAGTTTTAGGTGTGATCATAGGGATTCTATCTCATTGACATGGGATTAGTTGGACACCTCATCATCAAGGGATTCCTACTCGGCCAATCCTGCAGCCTAACTAGTCTTCTGTTTACGTCAATACTTTTCCAGTCATACATCAATCATACCAGTTCCAAAAATGGCACGATGCAATAGTTTGTTGAGATCTCTCTCTCTCTCTCTCTCACACACACACACACACACACATCCACATTGTGTTTTTGCCATTAAATGTCTTCATATGTTTAAGCGTGGCTTTAAGAATATCTTTTCGCCCCTATTCAGGTTTTTGGGTGGCTTTTATGGTTGTGGGTTCTAACTGTATTATGACAGGTCATGCATCTAGATGCTGAAAAGGAAATGATGTCTCAGTGTGTTGCCTTGCTTGGGAAATTTATTGCTGTGCGTGAGCCAAACATTCGGTATCTTGGTTTGGTAAGTTGCCGGAGCACGAAAATTCAATCTGATATTTATATGCATTCTTTTTTTCTCTTTCAAATTTTTTTTCCTCTCTTTGCTGCTTCTCTGTTCATGTTTTCTTTACTTCATATCTTTGTGACTCTTAAGTCTTAACTATTTGATGCAGCCTATGAGCCTGCCAAACTGGAGCATCTTTTGTTAGACTAGTAAGTTTCAGTATGGCTGCTACTATCTGATCGCATGATCTGTGTATGTGTCTAATGCAGGAGAATATGAGTAGGATGTTGATGGTTACAGATGTTCTGGACATTATCAAAAGACATCAAGCCCAAATCATCACCTCATTAAAGGATCCTGACATCAGGTATAGCTCAATTGTTCTGTGATTTTCCAGACATGTTCTCTCATTCTGTCATTTCCATTGCTAGACACCATAATTGGCTGCATGTTTGGCAACAGCTGGATTAAACTGGCATTTATTACTGCCGGGGACATTAATCATTCATTCACAGTATATCAGTAGGCTATAGTAACTACTTTTTTTGTGATAACATTGTTGTGGACCTGTGGTTGCATTGAATAACGCTGGCATGTTTGTTGTAAGTATGTATAATTTATGAAGTTTTGTACTTTAACCTGAAGATAACAAGTTGCGTTCTCTTTTTGATGTTCGACAGTATTCGGAGACGTGCCCTTGATCTGCTATATGGCATGTGCGATGTTTCTAATGCAAAGGACATTGTTGAAGAATTATTGCAGGTGGCAAATTACTGGACTGGACACATAGCGTTGTGTTTGTTTATATCCAGTAGACAGTTTCTTGAAATTATCCGTATTTGAATCCTCTAAATGAATTTAAAGTAAGCATGCCACTGACACTCATCTGTTTTCAGTATCTCAGCACAGCTGACTTTGCAATGCGTGAAGAATTGGCATTAAAAGCTGCCATTCTTGCAGAGAAATTTGCCCCTGATCTGTCATGGTATGGGTTTTCAATACGAGGCAGAATGTAATTTGCTATTAGATGAATTGTAGAACATGATACTGTTGAATATAAGTTGTTCAGTTAAAAAAAAGCATTATAGAACAAAATGTATCTGAGCTGGTATATGATAATGATCAAATCTCCATGATGAATGGCGACAATATCAGTCACTATAGTTAGTGACAGTACAGCAACTGAAAGAATGTAAGGCAATTATTTGATTATGTTTTGCCTTAAGGGGAGCTGCTGATTTTTAGTTGCTTAGCTTTCATACCACTCCATAGACATCCGAGGACAGAGGACCTAAGGACAAGAAGTTTGTGTTGTTTAGGTATTCATATTCTTCTTTCTTTTGTCCCCATTGCTCCTACTTCTTGACATGTGATAATTATGTTGGGATCCTATTACTTTTCTGCCGTTAACGAAGCAGTTCTAGTGATGAGTAATATGTCCCAGAATTTTATTTTGTAACTTTATTAGTTTCATCAGTGACAAAAAATTAAGATCCCAACTTTTCAGGTAATTTTGTGATTGCATAGTGGATTGGAAATCCCATCTAATGTTAAATATACTACATGGTCGGTAGACTAGGTACCAGTGCCCATATATGAATTAAAAATATGAAACCCTGGTCTCCACCTATCCATAGAAGAATTGTTAGCTGTATGTTTCAAAACAAATTCTTGCACTTGCCTCAACTGATGCAATTTGAATTCAGAAATTACCTGCCACTCCAGAAAATGTCTTGATCGATGCAAACTAACAGAAAAATGGAAATGTGCACAACTTATTTCAGTTTCGTGGACGAGGAACCTGATTTAATGACTAACATGTTCTAAAAAATGCTCATAAATATTTCAGTTAGATTGATCTGAGTTTAGGTTGTTTGAGGTCAGGTTGTATAAGGTTTTCCAGAGGATATGATTGTTAGCAATTATGTGGAGAGGGCCATTTGATGCACTTTTGCAGTTCAGCATCCTCGTTCAGTGTTTCGCGGTAGCCCTGTTTGGTGTTATAACCACCTCCGATGTTTTATCTGTTGGAGCATGGAGGCAAGAAAGAGATGCCAACTTTTTTGTTTGACAAACCAAAATATGACAATGTATTGGCAATAGAGTTGGATTATGTGCAAAATTAATGCTGTTAGAATTTTTGCTTGTCCTTTTGTTTAGAGCTGGAGAAACAGAAACTTCAAATTCCATATTATTAGATGATATGGACTGTTTTCCCTCTATCATTATGCAGGTATGTGGATGTGATCCTTCAATTGATTGACAAGGCAGGAGATTTTGTCAGTGATGACATATGGTTTCGTGTTGTGCAGTTTGTCACAAACAACGAGGATCTACAGGTGACTGAAGCCTTTGTTATATCTTTGTCATATTACTGTAGTCTTATCTTTACAGGAAGTTTATTAAATATGATCTGCCTTAATTCTTGCACCTTTTATTAGCCTTATGCAGCAGTGAAAGCCAGGGAATATCTAGACAAGCCTGCTATACATGAGACAGTGGTCAAGGTTTGTATATTCTACCGTGATTCATTTATTGTTGTTGGTTGTTTTGATGCTGATAGTTGTGAATGGCAATAAATGTGTTTGACTGCTGAATTTTTTGATGCACTCTACTGAGTTGACAGATGAGCCACCTTAAATTCGTTTCAGTTTTTTCATTTTCACTTTTCTAATGGATAGCACTGTTTCTTTCACATTACATGTAATTGACATAAAAACTTGGATATTTGCTTGGCAGTTCTTGCTATAGAATTCTTGATCATTTCATGTCATCATTGTATTAGTGATGATCATCTGCTTAACTTTTTATTCTGTCCAATCCAAATGTAATCTTTAAATCTAGTTTGAAGTTAATATGATGGAATAGGTCAGTGCCTATATTCTTGGAGAATACAGCCATCTTCTGGCCAGACGGCCTGGTTGCAGTCCAAAGGAGATTTTTAGCATCATACATGAGAAGCTTCCTACTGTTTCGTAAGGGCCTCTTTCTCTTCTCTTATCAATATGTGCTCTTTATCATTTGTCTTGACTAATGCACATAATATATCTTCAGGACTTCGACGATTGCTATTCTACTTTCAACATATGCGAAGATTTTGATGCATACTCAACCCCCAGACTTGGAACTACAGAATCAAATTTGGGCAATATTCAGCAAGTGGGATAAATCTATACCTAATTTTTCACTTGTAAATATTTTGGAGTTGTAGTTTAAGCTTTATCTCCATATATATTGAATTGCTGAGAACAATTTCATATGTTTTCAGATATGAGGGTTGCATTGATGTTGAGATACAACAACGGGCTGTTGAATACTTTGCATTGAGTAGGAAAGGCGCAGCTTTATCAGATATATTAGCTGAAATGCCCAAGTTCCCTGAACGGCAGGTAGTGTATGGGATTTGCAATCTTTGTTTGTAATCGCTTACTCTCTTACTTATTTTGTCAGTTCACTAACACATTTGATGAGAGTGCCACAAAGCTATTGTTCAGTGTGGTGCGCATCCTAAAAGAGTAGTTTATATGTGTATGAGTTGTTGACTCTAATTGTAATTCATCTTTGGATCTAGTCTGCATTAATCAAAAAAGCTGAAGATACTGAAGCCGATGCTGCGGAGCAAAGTGCTATCAAGTTACGGGCGCAGCAGCAGACTTCTAATGCTTTGGTTGTGACTGACCAACGTCCGGCTAATGGAACACCTCCTGTGACCCAACTTAGTCTTGTTAAGATGCCTAGCATGAGCAATGTGGTGAGATGCATTTCTGCTTAATTCAGATTCTGTAGTTTAGAGTTTCAATTAGTTTTCAATCTACAATTTAGTATTTGGACAGGATCATAACCCTGCAGAGCAAGGGGTGTCTCAGGCCAATGGGACTCTAAGTGTTGTGGATCCTCAACCATCTAGACCTTCAGATGATAATATTGGCGATCTTTTAGTTCCACTGGCTATTGAAGGCCCTCCTGGTTCTGCTACGCTATCTGGGCATAGTCCCGTCTTTGGATTTGGAGGTGCTCCAAATGCAGAGGATGCTTTAGCCATTGCACCTGTCGAAGAGCAGATAAACACTGTCCAGGTACTTCTTTCTTTTGGATTAGTCATTAGTGTGTGCTATATACTCTGGTCTAGTTATTGGTCCTAAAATTTATTGTTTTACCTTGATTGTTTATGATTTCGTTGACTCCTTTGGTGGATTGGGATTGCCAAGACTCTGCTGCCAAAGTAGAATTTATGACTTCAATATTTTATCTTTTTTCTAATCACATGGGAATTGCAATCTCAATGAACTGATTTTGCGTTGAAATCATATGGTGTTCGGCTTCCAAGTAAAACTCCAAAGTTTTTTAAGAGGGACCTAATAATATACTGTTTATTCTTACTGCATTAGCATTTGCTAAGTCCATAACCTTGAAAATGCTAGATAAAATGTCTCAATGCTGCAAATAAGCTAGGACCTGCCTTTTCACCGAAATGGCATTGGTTATTGTGCATCCACTCTTGATGTCAGCATGATACAGCAGTTGAAATTTGGAACGTTGTTGCCACTTTCTCTATTACCTCCATAACCTTGCCTGTTTCCGTTACACAATTTAGACAACCATTTTCAACTAGACCATTTAATAGAAAATTGGAAAATTGGAGGACAAAAGTGACACTATTAGAAGAATGGGGACCACAGTGAGATTGAGCTTATAATTTGATAATACATATTAAATATGAGTGGTAGCAGTTTTTACTGGTACCAAGAGACTAGGTTAACATCTTGTCATAGCTCATGAATCCTACTTTTTTTTTGGCCTGAGGTGTGGCACCCAATTTCATTTACCCAAACCCAGCATGTTCTTTTGTAATCCTTCTACCTGTATTTTTCCGTGTTAGCTTTCAAATAACATTGGCTAACATATAGTTTTAGGCCCGATCAACCTGACAGCTACTGGCCACCCTTGGTTTTGACACTAAGGATGCCCTAGTGTTGAAACTACAATCTAAACAGCATTTACATTGCCACTTATGGATGAACCGAGACAGTGATGTGATTAGTCAGGCCTAAATATTTCATGTGTTGGAAGAGAAATATCACCTCATTTTATTCATGACTAAATGTTTCTAGCGATTCAAATAGTAAGAATGGCGTACAGACCAAGTCTTAGAGGGAGAGGATTTCACAGCTTTCCAATTATTTAGATAGGGCTAGACTCTAGTCTGGTATCCTACACCAAGCTTCCATTCTGTTAATCAGGTTGGATATGTTGATCTCTTGATTTTTTTGATTTATTATAATGGAAAAGCAAGCTGGATACTACAGTGAGCCCCCAGGCTATTGTTTACTTGGTCAATGTGGAATTGTTTTACCATCGGCAATATTGTCTTTTATGTTGTGTGTGTGGGTGTTTCCTATTTTTTTCCAGCATGTAATAAAGCAATATATTGCTAGGTTGCCATATATCTGCCTTTATCAACATTTTGGAAAGGTGTTCGATGGCACTGCTTTTACATTTTGAAAAATAATAACCTGGTTTTTATGTGCGTTGATTCATTGATTTGTTCTTGATTCTCTGATTGCATCATCTATTCTTGTAGCCAATAGGAAATATTGCAGAAAGATTTCATGCTTTATGCCTGAAGGATAGTGGGGTGTTGTATGAGGATCCTTATATTCAGGTGACTTATCCTTTCATAGTTCTTCCGATGACTTGTTTTGCATTGGCACTTGCTGTTCATTCTTGTTATTTTACCATAAGGAACCTGCTTTGGTGATACAACTTGATGAAGATTTAACATCCAGTCCTTTATTGATTTTTTAATAATACATTCCAGATTGGCATTAAGGCTGAGTGGCGGGTGCATCAGGGACGACTTGTCCTCTTCTTGGGTAACAAGAATACTGCCCCACTTGTTTCAGTTCAAGCATTGATATTGCCGCCATCTCATTTGAAGATGGAGCTCTCATTGGTACCCGAAACTATTCCTCCACGGGCACAGGTCAGGATACTGGTGTTACCCATTTGTGATTTCTGGTGGTTTAATCTGTTAGCCTCTCTCATCATTGAAATCTTTTTTTTCTTTCCTTTTTTTGTCATCTTTTTTTAATTTTTATGGCCGTTTAGGTGCAATGCCCACTTGAAGTGGTCAACCTCCGCCCAAGTAGGGATGTTGCTGTTCTCGACTTCTCCTACAAGTTTGGAACCAACGTGGTATCACCTATAAATGAAGTTTCACTGTTTTGTATGGCCAAGCTACACGGATCAATATTCATATGTGTATGTGTCTTATTCTGCAGGTTAATGTTAAACTTCGCCTACCTGCTATTTTAAATAAATTTTTCCAGCCCATAACAGTGTCTGCCGAAGAATTTTTCCCCCAATGGAGATCACTTTCTGGACCCCCCTTGAAACTTCAAGAAGTGGTAATAAATTCTACCTCATGTTTAGCCTAAGAACTTATGTAAGTGGAATACTACTGGGCCTTTTTTTGGACTTCGTTGGTTGCTTTAAATATTATCGAAGATAATGATTATGAGTAAGAGTGACATTTTCATTGACATCTTGTATGTTAATTCAATTCCTATCGAGAGTAGCAAAGTGCAGTTTAAAAATGGATTTTTATCCTATTTTTAAATATCAATCTTTGAGATATTGTCATCCCATGTGATTGTAAGAGTATAAGATTTTGGGCTACAAAGCTGACACTTGGAGCATCTCCAGTCTTTACCCTATTATGTACCCAAATTTAAATTTGGGTAAAAATGATTTAAAATGTTTCTCCAATGCTAGACCCATACCCATACCATATAAAAGGAAATTCTTTTTTAAACCCAAATCTTTAATGGTGAGATTACACCCTCCTTTAAAGATTCAATAGCCATATTTTACCATTTTTTTAAATTTGGGCTTGTCCTCATTTAAATTTAGGTTTCTCTTTTTTTAAATTTGAATTTCTCCATCGGAGAAGTCTATATACCAAATCAAGCCATTTACCCTTTTTTTTAACTCAAATTTAGATAAGAGTTTGGATTTTCGTTGGAGATGGTCTTAATGCAATCAACCACCAAGCTTTGTTGTTTTATGTTTTTCCAGTAAATAATGCATGGAAAAATTGTTCCAGAAAAATTTAATATAGGTATCAAAGCATGATAAACATTTGAGGAGATATGATATTTTTCCAAGCTTTTGAACAAAATTTTCTATCAATATGCTCAGAGCAAAAAGTAAAAAAATCATTAAGAAAACTTTTCCAATTATTCTTAACCTAAGGCTCCATTCAGAGCTCCATTAAAGGAAAGTATAATTAGTATAAAAAATATCACTTCTCTCACCTATGTACGGTTTACAAGAAAGTTTGCAGGAAGTAAACCTTAAGCTTTCAAAACTTTATACAAAATACGGGACAAAATTTGGAGCGTAATGTTGTGCAGGATGGTAGTTATAATAGGACACAGACTTCATATGACCACCAAATATTCACAGGTGGGAAGGGGAACAATTATATTTTGTCCTTTTCCTTGACATTAATCAAACAGCATTGGTAAACAGAGTAAGCAAATATATATTTGATGGTATTGCAAATGGTATGAGTGTGCCATAACATCTAAAAGGACTTGGCTTAAGGATTGAATTCCTTCCATTGGCTCAGATAATAATTATGGAGGGAGGGGGAGAGAGAGAGGGTCAGTATATTCTGGTCAGTTGGTGGTCAATCTTAAATGTCATTTAACAAGTGCACCAATGCAAAATATGCAATTGCATAATATTGAAAAATATACATGACTATATTTTTCTATGAACTTGAGCAGGTTAGAGGTGTGAGATCAATGTCTCTCGTGGAGATGGCAAACTTATTTAACAGTTTCAGGTTGATGGTTTGTCCGGGACTTGTAAGCTTCCAACTCTTTCAGTTTGGGCTCCGTCCATTCTTACTGAATTTCCATCTGTGCCTTCCTCCTTAATGCATATAAAATGGCATACTGTTTCGTTTTCTTTTTCAGGATCCAAACACAAATAATTTGATTGCAAGCACTACATTCTATTCAGAGAGTACACGAGCCATGTTGTGTTTGGTAAGGATTGTATTCCACTGCAAGTTATTTGAATTGTGGTTAATGTTTTCTCGCTGACAAAAATCAGTATTTCATGGTGCGCCTCATGATGGACACTCTAGGCATCACTTTAGATTGGAACTTCTATGCCTTCATTGGTGCCTGATGTTTACGTTGTAATGGAACTTAGTTTGTTAACCTGCTAGATGATGTGACAGGAAAGTAACTGTTGTTTTTTCAAGGTGTCGAATTATGCTGCTTTGCTCCTTTGGTGGCTGTTATTCTTAGCTGTGTGGCCTTGTAAAGAATGTGCAGGAGCCCAAAAAAAAAGTCCTCTTCCTTTTTTTGCTGCTGAGTGGGAGGGTGGGGGTGGGGGCTAAGCATGAATTCATTGGTTATATTTGTTTTTTGGTGCTGTAAAAGTTGTATAAGATTCTATTTGATGGTTCTTTTTTTTTTCTGCCCTTATACAGGTAAGAATTGAAACAGATCCTGCAGACAGAACCCAGCTGCGTATGACAGTTGCCTCAGGGGACCCTACACTAACGTTTGAGTATGTCTTCAGTGTCCAACTTTATAATTTTTACTTCATTTCTACTACAAAACATCATCTGACCACTTCTGTCCAGATTGAAGGAGTTCATCAAGGAACAATTAATTAGCATTCCTACAGCTTCCCGGGCACCTTCACCAGTGTCTCTGCAAGCTCAACCAGCTGAGCCTCCACAACCTTTGCCAACCAGCTCACCAGCTGCACTATCAGATCCTGGGGCTATGCTTGCCGGTCTTCTTTGAGAAAGTGGATATGATTTATTCAAGATTTGTTCACTACAACACATGTAAACCTGATTATACAGCAATGCCCATCAATCCGTCCCTGAAAGTCAGAGGTGGGCAAGGAAAAATACAATGCCAGGGCTGGCGGGATTAGGGGTGAGTTTGCATGCGTTAGGCTTAGCATTAGAGTTTTTGGGAGTTGGTTCAGGGTTTTGAGATTCTTCTCTTACAATTACAGTGCGCAAGGGTGAGGTTCTCTTTTTTATTTTAGGGTGAGGGTCTGTTATTATTATTCTTTATTTCCCCTTCCATTCCATTTTTTTCCCTCGTATCTGGCCAGGTTTCACTCGGGTTCTGTAATACCAATAGCATATGAAAAATTGCTTCAAGTGAACTGATTGTAACTAATGCATCATTTTGTTTTGGAGTCCATATGTATTTTTCATTCAGAGCAATTCCGAATGTGAAAAAAACGGTGTGGCCTTTGTATTTGTCTTTCTATTTGTGGTTTTCCTGAAAGATTGATGGGAAAAACATTTGGCTCAATTCTTGAACCCGATTACACTTATCTTTTTCTTTTGGTTGGGATCAGCGGAGAAACTTGTTTGCTTATAGTTACTTTGGAGTTTCAATTGCACAGTTTTGCAAAAACTTCACGCTTCTCAATTGATATATGGATATGATTCCATGCATGTATCTGTTTTGTTAAAATTATGTATGTACGGTTGGTATCAGTTATTGGTATTAGTGCCAAGCATCTACCGTCTCTCGGAGTTATTGGCATTAGCACTATACAGTTTTGAACGCATGGTGAAAAGCTGCAATTCGCACTTTTTGGGAATTGTCACATTTTCTCACACATTTTAGTAGTGTATTGGCAAGACTTCTCTCTCTCTCTCTCTCTCTCTCTCTTTTTTCCTCTTTTAGCGATATTTCTCCATTCTTTATATAAGCCAGGCAGGACTGTCCTTTTCATTATATAAATCAGATCATGGTCATAATACTTTCTTTCTTCGGTTTTAATTAGAAGGCCCAAGCCTTTTTTTGGGTAATTTACAAAAGTCCAAGCAAGGAGAGTGGAAGAATACTGTTTAAAAATTAAAATAAAAAACAATAGCAACAAATACAGTGAAATAGAAAAAAGGCCAATTCGATGTGAACAGTTCTTTTTTTTTTTTTAA